GCTCTGTCCACTGGGCTAAACCGGTTTTGGCTGAAGGAAGTCTTTCTTCCCTGACATTCCCAGTATGGCCCCCCACCACCCGCCAGGCCCCATGGCACCCACTCCCCCCAGCTCCATTACTGTGAAGTGAAACCACCACTTCTCTCCGTCTTCCTCCAGCCCCAGCTGTGACCCTGCCCCAGGGCAGGGGCTACTCCTGCCGGACCCGGTGCCTGGCCAGGAAGGATGTACACGATGGAGCAAGTGCCATTGAGGGGGCGGGAGTAAGCAAATGAACGCTCAGCATTTCACCTCTTTTCTACCCAGACACTATTCTCCAATAGGTCCTTTCGTCCATTCCCTTTCCTCTCCCCTGTGCCTTCCTGAGGGCAAGTTCCAGGAAAGCCAGAGCCATGGAAAGGGGGGTCAGAGAAGGCCTGGCCACTGGTGGGCAGGTCCCTTGCCCTCCTCACACCTGATAAGGGGTCTGACAGGGTTCCACCAGCACAGCCCCGGGTAGCCAGGCAGGCAGGGGACAGGCTAAGGCCAGCAAGACCTTGGATACCTGGCCTGTGCAATCAGGTGGGCCCCAGTCCCCACTCCCCAGGCAGCCTGCCCGGGGCTGCAGACCTGAAAACTTCCACTGGGTGGCGCCCAATCACCACCACCCGTGCCCAGCCATGAAGGTCTCCCAGGGCCATGAGGAGAGGCAGGCCTCCTGGGGCGGCTGGACACCCAGCCATCAGTCTTGCCCACAACAGGGCAGAGCGAGCTGGGGGACACACTGCTGGTTTCCATGAAGATTGGGTCTGCCCCTCCCGCCCCGCACCCCCCTCCCCCCAACATTGTAATCTTCCTGATGAGCTTGTTCAAAAAGAGGCAGCTATCAAGTAGCAGAAAAGAACACAAGGGGGCCGGGGGCAGGGGGTTTGAACGAGCTACTTGGTGCACCCCCACCCTGCATTGCAAATAGCCACGTGTTCACTTGCTCATTCATTCATCAAATATTGCGCCGTAACTGCTATTGATGATAACTGACAGCCTGGGTGGGGAGTCACCACCATGCAGGCTGGGGAGAGCTGGATGTACTTGGTAGCACCCTCTGCCAGTGCCTTCATGTCCTATTCCCAGGCCTGGCCTCTAGGCCCCTGTATCCACGGGGGATGCCAGATCGCAGTTCACGAAGCCTTCCCCAGCCTTGGGGGACAATGCTCTGTCCCGCAGCCTGGGCACCTGGGCCCAGAGCGTGCTTGCCCCCTCCATGCACTGCAAGACTTCTCCTTGTCACCTGGATGATCTTTCCACTGCCAACGTCACCATCCCGAAGAACCCACGCTATGCCACGTGTCTGAGCAGACGCAGCCTGCCCAGGCCAGGTCCCCGGGGCTCACCTTCCCTGTATTCCTGCACCGGTACCCCAACTTCTTCTTAAAAAAATAATGCTTGCCGAAACTGGTTTGACTCAGTGGATAGAGCGCCGGCCTGCAGGCTGAAAGGTCCCAGGTTTGATTCCGGTGAAGGGCATGTACCTTGGTTGCGGGCACCTAACCAGTGGGAAGTGTGCAGGAGGCAGCTGATCAATGTTTCTTTCTCATTGATGTTTTTAACTCTCTTTCTCTCTCTCTTCCTGTTTGTAAAAAAAATCAATTACATATATTTAAAAAAAATAATAATGCTCATTCTACCTACCTCCTATAAAAGCAAAATGTGTTCATTTCAGGAAATTTGAAAAAGAATGGAAAGCATAGAGACAATAAAAATCACCAACACCAAGGCTTCCCCACCTCGGCCACCATTCATCCTTTCAAACCGGAATCATTTTTTCATGACAAGGACTGTCGGGTGCACTGCGGGATGGTCAGGAATACCACTGACCCCTCCTAAGTAGGAGCCAGCAACAGCGCCGCCCTGGCTCAGACAACCACCATGTCCCCAAACATTGCCAAACGTCCCCTGATTGGGAACCACAGTCTCAGAGGCAGTCGAACCGCAATCCAGGTCTGGTTTGTTTTTCCTCCAGCTATTTCTCTCTCACAGGTAGATTTCCGACCCGTATGAGACCGACTGGCCGTGCAGTTTGGGCTCTGCTTTCCCCACTCAATATTATGTTCCCAGCATTTTCCTAAGCCCTTGCTTCCTTGGTTAGGATATGCTTTACTGATGGCAGGACGGCACTGGCAGGCAGGCTGCCCGGTGCCACAATCCCTCCCTCCCGGGGCTGGAGCTGGACAGGTATGGGACCTGATGCCGCCGTGCTGTGCACGCTGCCGGAGTGAACGCTCACACATGAACCAGAACTCTGAGTCCCTCCCAACAGGGGACTCGGAAAGGGAGGCTCCGGGATCAGAGGCCTGACGCTCACGCAGCCAGACGGCTTCTGAGAGGCTGTCATCAGGACGTGTTAAGTGGCTGAGCAACCACTCCGCCATGTTTCGGGTGAGAGAGCCATGTCCTAGGAGGGAGGGGAGAATGATGGGGCTCGTTTCCAATGTTCTTCCTGAAGACGCCCGGGGCAGCCCCAGCTTTTCCAGCAGCTGAGAGGCCCCAGCAGGATTTAGGCTGCCGTCTCCAGAACATACGCCTCAGGCAGCTGGTAAATGAGCTTCATGTCAGACAGACATAGGCTGCGTGAGGAAGGCCGCCTGGGGCTCAGCAGGAAGCGACATGACGTGTGCCGTGAGCAGGGGAGTGAGACACACACACACATGTTGTGTGCATCGTTGCGGGTGCCTAGATCCTCGCTGCCCGAGGTGTGCCCTGACCGGCAGCAGCATCTGGGTGCCGGCTGAAAATGCAGAACCTCGGCCCCCTTCCTGGACCTCCTGAGCCATAATCTGCATTTTAACAACAAGCTCAGGTGTTTCTTGAGTCCATCCTATATAACAAAAGCCTAATATGCTAAGTGTCCGGTCATCTGTTCAACCAATCAAAGCATGATATGCTAATGATATGCTAAAACTGCTCAACTGCTTGCTATGATGTGCACTCACCACCAGGGAGCAGTTGCCTCAACCAGTAGGTTAGCTTGCTGCTGGGGTCCAGCAGATCAGGATTGAGCAAGATGGTCCGGAGATGCCATAGAGCCATCCCACAGTCCCTCCCCGGCTGGCCAACCTCCCTGACTCTCCCTGGCCCTGTCTGTGCACTAGAGGGGTCCCTTAGCCTGGCCTGCACCCTCTCGCAATCCGGGACCCCTCGGGAGATGTCGGAGAGCCAGTTTCAGCCTGATCCAACAGGCCAGGCTGAAGGACCCTACTGGTCCACAAATTTGTTCACCAGGCCTCTAGTCTATATCTATCTATCTATCTATCTATCTATCTATCTATCTATCTATCTATCTAAACCAGCAACCAGAACACTGTAATGACCAGAATGTACATATATAAAGCTAGCAACCAGAACACTGTAATGACCAGAAGGACTGGTTACTATGACACCCACTGTGGCCAGCGAACCGGCCAATCAGGGGGTAGGGCCCACCGGTCAACCTCCTGGCCTGCCCCGCCCCGATGGGCCCCCACCACCCCAATCTGCCTGCAGCCCCTCCCCCAGGCTGGCCCCTGCCCTGATCGCCCCCCGCCCCAATAGGGGGCAGGGATGACTGGCCCGCCTGCAGCCTCCCCTCCCTCCCTTGCCACTGATTAGGGTGGGGCTGGCTGGTCAACCTCCCATGGCTCCTCCCTCAGGCCACTGGCCCCCAATCAGCCCCCCAACCCATTTGAGGGCAGGGATGGCTGTCCCACCACCCATAGCCCCTCCCCATGGCCGACCCCAGCCCCGATCAGCTCCCACCACCCCGATAGGGGCAGGGCCCACCAGCCAATCACCTGTGGCCCTTCTCCCCAGCTGGCCTGGCCCTGATCAGGCCCTAATTGGGGTGAGCTGGCCGGCCATCCTCCTGCTCTCCCCTCCTCCTGACAGGCCCTGCCCCAATCCGCCCCAATTGGGGCTGGGCGGGCTGGACCCCACCCGTGTACAAATTTGTGCACTGGGCCTCTAGTCCTAATATATAAGAAGCCTGGGCCCATGGGAATGCCCAGGTTCATTCCCGGAGTTTTCACTGAACTGAACCTGAGCCCAGCACTCCACCTCCTAGGACAACGATTGAATTACGTTTCTGGAAATGAGTGCTCTCGCCTGCGTTAAAGCTAAGTGCCACATCTTAGCTGGCTGCAGTGACCCCCACTCCTTTTTCCCATGATTGGCAGGTACCACACACTGTTGTTGATAGCACGCAGCTGTTGTTATCATCATCATCATTATCACCGCCACCCTCGGGGCCTGGCACTGTAAATCCTGGAAAGGTCGGATGAGCTTGGAGGCTTCAAAGAGGACATCCAGATAATTTCTGAACAGATTGGACAATTAAGACAAGTCCCCAGTTCCTTCAATGCAGCCTCCTGCGGCCTGGAGCCAGGGGGCTTGGCCCCGAGGTCTGGTCTGACCATGGCCACCCCCAGGTATCACTCAACCACCTGTGACCTCCCTGTGACACAGGAACCGTGCTGCCACAGCCCTCGTGTGGTCGCACACGTGTCGATGGAGATGAGGAATGCAAAGGCAGCCTGGGAATCTAAAAACACACTCCCATTCCTTCCACCCCGTGCTGTCTCTGGGCTAGATTAGTCAGTGTCTACTGCATCTTACAGAATTCCATGTGGGGACGCCTGGGGGAGGAAGGGGATGTTGAAAAGGACAATGGCCCGGCCCTCTCCAAATCTTTCAAATCGGGGAAAATCTTCACTCGCTAACAGGAGCCCAGACAGCAGGACAGAACCACTGCCCTCGCAACAGTTACAATCCCACCACCAAACCACCCCAGTTTCCAGCACCAACTGCCCACGGCTGCCTGCTCTCCCCCAAGCGTGGTGACTGGGGTGACCAGGTGGACCAACGACTTTCTCTTCAGGGCGGACGTGGGCCGTGTGCAGCCACCTCACCCCCTGATGCACCCCTCTTCCTGACACCTCCCTGGCCCTGCACCAGCACCTGCCCCTCCCTCCCACCGCAGGACCCCTTACCTGGGGATCGGAGGCGGGCTTTCGGACACTCATGTGGGCAGTCTCAGGAGGGTGTGCTGGGGTCCCTGAGGCGTGGTATCCATTCACTGTGGGGACAGAAACACGGCTCAATGCGGTGACGGCCACAGACTTCCCGCCATTGCTGCCCCTTCTCCCACCTCCAGGCCCGGCGCTGGGAGGGCTGTCCCAGGGCCTCACCCACATTCCCAGAGCTGGAGAAGGGGTGCGAGCATCTCTCATCCCTCCCCCCCAGCACCAATGACTGAAGTCGTGGGGGAACACGCTTCTTTTTGAAGGAATGTGCTTGGAAGAGCTGAGACCACATCATCCAATGGCCATCTCTGGATCGGCTGTGGTCACTGGTGCTGGGCAAGGGCCCGCTCTCTCTCTCTCTCTCTCCAGGGTCAGGAGACCCCCAGCACCATCCAGGAGTTGCTCTGTGACAAACTTCGCTCTGAGAAGCCCCCTTTCTTGCGGCCACAGTGCATGAGAGGAGTGTGTTTACTGGTTTCCATGACAACTGCTTTGCCAATTAATAGCCAGATGATCTTTTTTATTTTATTTTAAATATATCTTATTGACGTCTTACAGAGAAGAAGAGAGAGGGATAGAGAGTTAGAAACATCGATGAGAGAGAATCATCGATCAGCTGCCTCTTGCACACCTCCTACTGGGGATGTGACCGAAGCTAAGGTACATGCCCTTGACTGGAATCGAACCCGGGACCTTTCAGTCTACAGGCTGATGCTCTATCCATTGAGTCAAACCGGCTTCGGCTAGCCAGGTGATTTTGACATCCTTCTTAAGTTGCTTTTCCAAAAATTAAACACACACACACACACACACACACAGTGGAGTGGCTCAGGAAGCAACAAGACATAAATTAACCCCTCATGAGCAGCGCACTCCCCTCAGGCAGCTGGTCAACTGCTGGCACTACTCAGGAGTCCCCCAGATAAGGGGGGCAGGGTTCCATGAGCTTCAGAGACTGTCGGGGGAGGTGGCGTGAGGAACACTTACTCATAGAGGCATAAGCTGTGCCCCGAGGGCATTGGGCTGATGTTAAATGCCACCAAACGGGAAGGCATGGCCTTTGGGAAGGTTACTGACCAGGCTGCACAGCGCTGAGATGGAAAAACACAAATGCTGGAGACGCGGGCATCAGCAGGAAGCCCAGCGCCCGGCTCTCACCCATGACCCAGCGGGCAGAGCTCAGATGTGGAAAATCTCGGTAACTTAATTTCAAAGGCTGATTGAATTGGGTGTATGAAACATAATACCCTACACACAACGATAACATCTCTGCCAAGAAGACATGGAACATTAAAATAAAAATTGTGCATATTTAAGCCACAAATAAAGTATCAATAAATTGCAAGAGGCGTAAATAACTCAAGCCACACTCTTTGAGCAGAAAGTAATAAAAGTAGATGTTAATAACAAAAGAGCAAATATACAAGTTCCCATCCCCTCAGCTCTCAGAGGCTTAGAAAGGTAAGAAAATGCCCTGTTAAATAATCTGAGGGCAACGAGGAATTTAAAACAATAAGCTCACAATATTTAGAAGATAATGAGGAAGAACATATCGGAAACAAATGAGATGAGGCCTGAATTGTATTTGGAGGAAAGTCTATAGCCTTCCTTATTTCATTACCAAAGCCAAGGGCAAATAAAAACAAATGAAATGAACATTCGGTTTACAAACCTAGAGAAGATTCCAAAGCCAAGGAAATACAGCAAAGGAAAGCAGGAGAAAGAGGTGGAAACAGGGCGACGGGAATGCCTGAGCTCGGGAGGCAGGATGGCAGGAAGGACCCGCTGGTCCTCTCTCTGTGTTGGGGGGCGGGGCAAGGTCAGCTTTGTAACTGAGAGGGACAGAGACCGAGCGGAGAATTAGAAAGAAAACAAGCTCAGCCCACATAGCAGAGATACGCTCTTTAATGCAACAGCATTTGATTTATAATTCCGTGTAATAAACACAGAGCCTTCCCTAAGGTTCACAGGAGCCACATGGTTTCAGAGGATACCAGGCAAGCCAAAATGGGTAAAATCTTTGAAAAGGGGCCACCCTCCCAAAGGCACTGGGCCCAGATGGTAGTATGGGCAAACTCCTCCTAACTCTCGGGCACCACATATCTTGTAGAAACATGCGGTCCGTTCCCCAGTTTATACACAATGCCAACATCACCCGACCCAAAATCTAGCAAAAGCAACAACAAACAGAACCACATTCAGTCTGATGGACGACAGAGTCTGGAAGCTCTCACCGGAGCAGGCCTTGGTTTCCGGTCTGCCAAGACCTCTGAGAGTGTGGGATCCCTTACACAAAGGTTGTCCCCAAGTTCTTGAGGGCAGAGGCTGGCCCCCTGATTTCATGGACTCCCTTCACTGCACCCTCACCCACCGCTCTCTCTCCCTCTTCCAGGCCCCCAGGCTCTCAGTCCCGCCGCTCATGGCACCCGGCACCCAGGAGCTGTCTGACCCAGGGCATTCTGCCTCTAATCCAGTCTCTTGTTCTCACTTCAGTTCTGGCCTGTCAGCTGTTGGCTAATTGCTGCTCATGTCAAAACAATTACTGGGGAGGAAAACATAATTTTCCATTCAACCACTTGTCTGCAGACAGCGGCCCTCCTCGGACACCCTGTCCCACTGCGCTGCGCTCTCCGTCCCCGGCACACGAGGACAGTGACAGCGGAGATCTGAGCTGCATGGCCCGCCTGCAGCACCCTGCAGTGGGGTTCCCCGTCCTCCAGGCTCCCCGCTTACCAAGGGCCTACACACCAAACCCATGAGCCCAGAGGTGGGTGCCTCTGAGGCCTCCGGCTTCAGAGGGAGGCAGGGGCTTCAATAAAATTGACCAAGGACCAGGATCACTCATAACCATAAGGAGCATAAGTTAGTTTGGGGATGCAAGAAAAACATAACATGCCAGATGAGCTGTTTTGCAGAGAAGAAGAGGGAACAGAAAGCTCTATCGAGTAACTTCAGATACAAACAGAAACGCTCACAAGCACGCATTCCTGCCTCTCTGCGGGCAGCGGCACAGGCAGGCAGGGAGGGGGCCTGGGAGACGCAGGAGGTGGGCGAATACTTGGCAGAAAGGAGAAGGAGGCATTTGTGCAGAGGGGGTTGGGGGGAGGAGGGAAGTGGTTAAAAGCAGAAAAGGAACACAGAAAAGGTTGTGAAGAGACACACAGCAACAGAAAAGCCTGCAACTCCTGCTGCCCAGGATCCATGGTGCAACAGCTCACCCTGAGACCCACCGCCCAGGTCCCTGCTCCCTACAGCACCCCTTTTCCAAACGAGGTGTCATCCCAGACACCCCCTCTCTCCTTTAGGCCTGGCCCATTCTCCCTTCTCTCTGGAATAAAGACAGGCACTTCTTTCCTCAAGGCTATGGCCCCTGGGTGCCCAGGGCCTTGTTCCTGAATCTGTCCCCTCCACCCATCCTCCATCCCACATTCAACCTGGTGGAATACCATGTTCCCCGCCAGTGCCACAAGGCCCCGGTTCCACAGGGTGAAGGGAAAAGTCCATAGAGTTTGGACAAGTGCCTCCCCTATTCAGATTTAAACTGGTCTGTTCACAGCAGGCCTTTAAAAATCCACAGATGTGCCAAAACCAGTTTGGCTCAGTGGATAGAGCATCGGCCTGCGGACTCAAGGGTCCAGGGTTCAATTCCGGTCAAGGGCATGTACCTGGGTTGTGGGCACATCTCCAGTGGGGGGTGTGCAGTAGGCAGCTGATCGATGTTTCTCTCTCATTGATGTTTCTAACTCTCTATCCCTCTCTCTTCCTCTCTGTGAAAAATCAGAGTCCTCAGGAGGCTGCCGGGCACATGAGTTTCCAAAGGGGAGTGAAGAGGTTACCAGCTGTCTGTGGCGGCAAGGCCCTTGTGGGCAGAGGACCTGCTAGACTGGCACTGCCCCGACTTCCCCTGGGGAAACCCTGCCCGGGCCCTTGGAGGCAAAGTCGGCATCTGCACACGCAGTCTGACACCTTGGTCACCTGGCCGGTTCTCCTCCCTGAATCCGACCCTCTCCGCTCTCTCCATCGTTCCCGGCCACACTGGGAGCTGCAGCACCCAGCCCAGAGGTGGGCAGACTGGGTTCTCGCTGAGTTTGTCAGGTGAAGGCAGGAACCTGTCACCCCCAGCCTTTGGGCCTGGGGATCTGAGCCAACCACCCTGCCCCCATCCTCCTTCTGGGAAACGAAGCCACGAACAGTAGGACAGGAACAGCAGCAGGACAGCAGCTGAAGAGGACAAGTCTCCTGACCAGCTCCTCCAGCACAGCAGGCCTGGCAGTGCTCGCCTAGCACCTCTCCGTGCCCAGGCTCCCCTGTCCGTGTCCCCGTCCTGCCCGCGTGGACCACTCTGGGTTCCTTTCTCGTATCTGGCTGGCCTGGAACCCACTAGGATTGAGGGCCGACTCCCCTCCCTGCGCACCTGAGTTGGGTGAGGTGAGCTATCAGGTGGCTGCTGGTGCCACCAGAGCAACAGGCTTGAAGGGCCCCCTTTCCCTCCAGGCCCCTTCCTGGGTTTGGTTCTTAAGATCGCCCGTCAGGTTTCAGACCCCCTGATCCAAAGTCTTGACCTTCCCAATCTTGACCCCAAAGCAGTAAGGGCGCACAGTACCTGTGGGAGGCAGAGGGCTCCTGTGAGTGCCAGGGCTGGCCGGGATCCCAGAACTGCTGGGGCGCTCCCAGGTGGTCTCTGGTGGGAGAAAGAAACAAAGTCGTTTACAGAATTTCACAAGGTGGACCCTGAGAGGGTGACAGAGCAGAAAGGGGCAATCAGAGCTGAAAAAAATAGTCCTGGCCAGTCGCCTTCCTCCGTAAACCCAGGGACCAGGAGCCTGCTTTGGGCGGCCACCCCTTCCCACCTTCCATGATGACAGAATTCTCTTTGCCGGGGACCCTTTCCACATCTGGGACCAGAAGAAGGAGGCTTTCCAGCTGGGATCCCCTGAAAGGTTCCCCCAGGGCCCTCCCTTTCTCATCCCTAGAGGCTGCCCACTCATGGGCCTCCAGGAACCCTTCTGTCCCTGGTCCTGGAACCCTTGCTGCCAACTGGGCATTCCCCCCAAATGCCATTGTCACATCAAACCATAGAGGAAAGAGCCCTGGCCTGGGGATCTGCACAGGGCATGGTCCTCTGTCAAAGGGGGTGATTCCCACCCTACGTCTTGTTTGCATTATAACTTCTGGCAGGGCTGGCCTCCCTTCCAGTGGCCAGCTGCTCGGTCCAACCAGGAGCAAAGCCGTGGCTGCATCTATGTTATCGTCCCCCGAACGCTACTTTGCCCATTTCACCACTACGAACAGGCTTCTGATAAAGTTATCTCGTGATGAAGAATAAAACGTTCTTACCATGTGACACTAGGTGCAGTAGAAAACCACTAAGAAGAAATATCACCCGTCACCCTACCACTTGGAGGCCAGCACAACGCTTTGGAATCTATATGTCGATTTGTTCCTTTGAAACAGGACAGAAGCACACTGCCCGCTCTTTTCACGAATAGGCTTTTGTGAGTATCTTTCCAAAGTCAGGCCGTCCAGAGGTCAGGACCTACTCACAGTCGGGGGTCTAGCCTCCTCTCCTCCACACTGCTGCGTCTGAATCCCAGCTCTGCCTCTCACCACCAATGCAAGCCTGGCCAAGCTAACGGTTCTGTTAGAGCCTCAGTTTGCTCCTCTGTAAATGAGGCCAATGATGGTCTCTACCCAAGACAGTCCTTGTATTCAGGCCATATGCCCATATACTAGTGCGCAGCATCCAGTTGTTTGTAAAGTTAGCCCAATGACCTTGGCCGGGTTGCCCCATTGGTTGGAGCATTGCCCAATACACCAAAAGGTCACAGGTTCATTCCCTGGTTAGGGTGTGTACGGGAGGCAACCGATAGATGTTTCTCTCTCCCTCTCCCTTCCTCTCTCTCTAAATATCCTATATAATAAAAGCCTAATATGCTAAGTGTTCAGTTGTCCAGTCAGCCATTCAACCAATCAAAGCATAATATTCTAATGATATGCTAAGGTTACTCAACCACTGGCTATGATGTGCACTGACCACCAGAGGGCAGCTGCTGGGTTCTGGCAGATCAGGGCTGAAAGAGAGGGCAGTCCTTCCCTGGCTGGCCAACCTCCCTGTCCTCCCCAGCACATATTGTGCTCTGTTGGGGTCCCTTGGTCTGGCCTGCACTCTCTCACAATCCAGGCTGAGGGACTCCCCCACCCGAGTGCACAAATTTCGTGCACCAGGCCTCTAATATATTGATATTAAAAAAAATATGATAGTATCATGACTAATAGAATGTAATTGAAGAAAGAGGAGGGAGTTTGCCGTGTCAAAGGCCCTGCAGTGTCTCTGGTGCCAAGAACAGTGTCAGATACAGAGTAGGCTCTCAAATATACTAATAATATATCCATATGTAAAATCATCTAGAATAAAAAAAGGGTAAAATGCTAATTAGACCAGAAGACCTCCCGACAAAGCTGGGGCTGCAAGGGAAGCCTGGTCCCAGGTGCCTGCCGACAGCCAGAGGGAAGCCCGGGTCCCAGGTGCCTGCGGCAGCCAGAGGAAGCCTGGGTCCCAGGTGCCTGCGGCAGCCAGAGGGAAGCCTGGGTCCTAGGTGCCGGAAGGAAGCTGGTGCTGGCATCCAGGGGACGGAAGGCCTACTCTTGCATGAATTTCATGCACTGGGCCTCTAGCCAATCAATAAAAACACATCCTTGGATGAGGATTCAAAAAGATTAAAAAAAAAAAAAAGTGAGTCCAATGTATGAATATAACATTAGTTATAAAAAAAATTCCTAATCTTGAAAATGCAATTGTCTCAAATATTAAAAATAAAAACAAAACTCTTTCGATGACTTTTCTCCTTCGGGATTCCAAAGAACTGGGCTTTTGCCTCAGCTCTGCCTCTATGTCTGCTGTGCTGCCCAAGGCAACGCACTCTGCCTCTCTGGTCCTCCAATTCTTAACCCGAAGAGGTTGGGATACCTGGTCTTTTAGGCCTCAGTCCTCCTGCCCTGTAGCTTTGATTGGTGATCTTAAAATCTGAAGACTCATGTGCTGACTGGCTCTCAGACACCAAGACTTGGAGACCCCACCAGGGCTTCCGCAGGGGCAATGCAGATGCCTGCAGGGTCTGCCCTTGCCCATCCTCGTCTTGGCCGGATCTGACCAAACACAAAGTCACGGTGAGCCTGGGGCAGGAGTGGGGCTGGGCCAAGTGGACATCTGGAGAGACCACCAGATGTCCACTCTGGCTGTGTGACCTCAGCAGTAGCAGGAAAAGTCACCCCAGATGACCGTACCACCCACAGGGAGGGAGCCACTTCCAGGTCTTTTGCAATAAAAGACTCGCTAATCCATTTACAGCACACCAGGCCCCTTGACCAAGCCAAAGCAAACCTGCGTGGCAGCTCGGGCCCATGTTACTCTGAACTGAAGCCCTTTTGCATTCTCTGGGGTCCCATTCCCAGGGTTCCAGATGGCCATCTAGACTCCTAACAGAGTCACTGCCATGGAGGTCCCAGAGGCTCTGCCATGGAGGTCCCAGGCACGGTACAGTCAGAATGGAAGAAGTGAGACTTTCTCTCAGAGACTCCCGTCCAACCCAAGTCACGAGAACGCATTTTTTCCTAAAGGCAACTCCAACTCCATGCAGGCCTCTCCCATAGTCACTAGGGGCACCCAGCACACACACACACACACACACACACACACACACACACACACTCACTGAATGCGGTTCAGACCAGCCCCAGGGAGACTGCCACTCCAGCCCTCAAAGCCACCAGCCAGAAATGGTCACGTCCCCTCAGTGGGGTGTCATTTTCCTCTCAGTGGCTGCCTCGTGTAGAATAGAACTTTTAAAGAGAAAGTACACCTGAACGGTGGGAAGTGATGTCAATTTCAGACCACAGATGTGCCCCTCTTAAGATAACAACAATAATAACTCTAACAACGAACAGTGCATGAGGTAGAAGTTACTCATTTTCCACAGTCACTTCTGGTCTTCGTTTCCCCTCCTCAAGACTGAGTCCTGCTTACACTAGAGGCACTGGCTTCCAATGGGAAAGCCACAACCAGCCCCTGGGCCCAGGACACTGATCATGGTGATTTGCCTTAGGCCCACCTTTGAGCCATGCCTTACTCACCTAATCCCCCCACCCAAAGGCCAGTGGATTCTTGTTCTTCATTGGTCCATTTCCTTGGTCATGGGGTGGCTCTCTGCTGCCCCCAGTGGCCATCAGGTGAAATAACTCTAGGTACCAGCCAAGGGGGGATTCAGCTTTCTGGTATTGGCTGGAACCTGGGATTCCAGTAGTCTCCTCCCCTTTGCCTCTTTTAGACTCCTCTTTCTGGGGTTCTCACCTTCTCTGCTCCCCCACCTCTTGTTTCTTCCTTTTCCTTGTTTGGTGATGACCCCAACCGTGGCTTCTTTACTGGCACGTTTTCCTAGATTGATGGTGCCCCACTGCCCCCTTCTCCAGCCCTGTCCCTCCTCATCTGGAAGCTCGATTTCCGAGCCCTGCCATGTCCTCTACCCCAACCGGAAAGGCGAGTCCCAGGAGAACGACAGGAGCCCTGGTCCAGGGGGGCCAGCCCTCTGAGAATGCCGGGCGCAGGGAGCTGTGGGTGCCATGAGCACCCAGAGGGCCTGCACAGCTGTCCCAGGACACTCAGCACTTCCTTGGTCCTGGCTTTGTGATCACCTTACCAATAGGGGGCTCTAGCTAATTTCTCATTTAACCCCTTCATAAAGTTAAATGAGAAACTACTACTCCCCAAGCCTCCATCTATGCCGGGCCCCCACATCGCATGTCTCCTTCAGAGGTCACAAAACACTATGAAATGATTGCTACAGTGACTATTTTTTGTTTTTAAAGAAACTGAGGCCTCAGCAGCAAGAGCAGAGCTGGGACTCAGTCTGACAGCAGAGTCTGCCACGTGAGCCACACCAACACCTCTGAGCTCTGAGCGGGGCTCTGAGCTGGGCTCCTGGAGCTGCGGCCAAACTGGGCTGTTTGAGTCCATACACCACTCTCTATTGGAGAACCACCAATAAATTAGTATTATTATGTTAATTCAGTATAATATGATATTTATTAGGAATCTTTACAATGTAAATGATACATTTTAATATAAGTTATATTATTGATTATAATATTATTAATATACTAGAGGCCTGATGCACGAAATTCGTGCAAGAGTAGACCTTCCTTCCCCTGGCTTCCCTCCAGCACCTGGGACCTGGGCTTCTCTTCACTGGGGCTGGACGCGCCACTTCCAGGTGGCTTCCTGGCCGCCAGCAGGAGCCAAAGTTGTGCACGCACACACACAGACACAGACACACACAGACACACACACACACACACACACACACACACACACACACACACACTTATTACCTGTCTCAGTATTATCTGTCGCTGAATCACAAATTACCCCAAACTTGGCAGCTTAAATCAGCAAGCATTCATTGTCACCCGGGGTTGGTGAGTCAGGACTTGGGAGTGGCTGAGCCTGGTGCTTCTGGCTCGGGCTCTCACATGAGGCCATTCTCTCTTATATCATCGAGGGCTTGACTGGGGCTGCAGGCGTCACTTCCAGGTGGCTCCTTGGCCACCAGCAGGAGCCAAAGTTGCGTACACACACATACACACACACACACACACACACACACACACACACACACACACACACGG